CATGGTTCATGAGTTCGACCCCGTGTTGGACGCTGTGCTGACAGCTCAGAGCCTGGAGCCTGCTTTTGATTCTGTGTCTCCCTCTCTCTCTGCCCCTCACCCACTCATGCTCTATCTCTGTCTCTGTCTCTCTTTCTCAAAAATAAATAACCATTTTTTAAAAAATAAAATAAAACAAAACAAGTTACTTTAAGATATGTATGCCTCATTTCCCAGAAGATAGGTTGCATATTGCAATAATGGAAAAGAACATTTAATATTTACAAATTAATTGTTAAAAGCCCTGTGTTTTGAGATAATGCTGACTTGCTTTGTATCTTTCAGTTAAATAATAGTGTCTCAAATGAAGTGGGAGAATTATAAGTGTACGTCATTAAAGAGACCTCAATTTTGCCTCAGGAGAGATTATAAGAGGCATGAGAATACCTGACATTTGCCTTGCTATCCTCTTCCCTGATTTGGAATTAGAGCCTGCAGGACCAGGCTACAAGCATACTGTTTTAGAGGTCTTTTCCCTCCAAACCACAGGCAACACCACTTTAGGACTCTGAACGGATCAGGCAGTTAAAGAACGCCCTTAGTGTTCCCTGGGACTCCCAGCTGCAAAGAAATGTTTGTAACAGCTGAAGAAATATGTCCAAAGAAATAAATTTGGGACACTTGGGTGGCTCAGTCATTTGAGCTCCTAACTCTTGATTTCAGCTCAGGTCATAACCCCAGGGTCATGGAATGGAGCTCTCAGTTGGAGCTTGCTTAAGATTCTCTCTCTCAATCTCTCTCTTTCTCTCCCTCCTGCCCTTTCCCCCACTTGCGTCCTGTCTCTTTAAAAATAATAATAATAGGGGAGCCTGGGTGGCTCAGTCAGTTAGGCTTTGACTTAGGCTCAGGTCACGACCTCACTGATGGTGAGTTCAAGCCCCATATTGGGCTCTGTGCTGACAGCTCAGAGCCTGGAGCCTGCTTCCAATTCTGTGTCTCCCTCTCTCTCTGCCTCTCTCCCGCTCACACTCTGTCTCTTTCTCTCAAAAATAAACATTAAAACATTTTTTAAAAAATAATAAATTAATAAATATTTTAAAAATGTGCATAGGACTGTTTGCCTTTTGGTGAGAACGCTTGCTTGAATTGAAGACACTGGAAGTTTAAGGGTAAATTAAAATGATTTTCTTTATTTATAAAGGGCAAAGAGATCATTTATTCTCTCCTGTTGGAGTGTTTTCTTAGAGATGTGGTAAATCTGAATCATTATTCTCAACTTTAGTATAAAGATAAATCTCTCTAGGGATTAAGCCTAGTCACCAGTTTTTACAATGTAGAGCTATCTCCAAGGTTGTGGACCAAATGACCTCTGCAAACAAGGATTTCTTTGGAGAGGTACAGAAGACTATTAAGAGGTGCAGCCCTTTGTCTCATTAGGGCTTTCTCGTGCTTTGTTCTTTCTAGTGTTTTGCTGTATACATTATGTAAGATTTTGTCCTAACTTTGAAATTATTTTCAGGCTACATTATATATATGTAATCTGTTAGTTCTTATTCAGTAATCAAGTATGTTCTTTTACTCCTCTATATTGGCAAGGAGGGGGCTTTTTGCTAGCAGGTTTGTTTTATTTCCCCCAACAAGAACAACACAATAGCCGATTTAAAAACAAAGCAAATGAGGGGTGCCTGGCTGGCTCAGTTGGTGCAGTAGGTGACCCTTGGTCTTGGAGTTGTGGTTCCAGCTCCACCTTGGGTGTAGAGATTACTTAAAAAATAAACAAAACAAAAAACCAAAGCAAATGATTTCAAGTAGTTTTCCTTAGCTCTTGATGCGTCCACAGTTACCAATACCATTCAGTTGTTGTTTATTTGACAAGTCAATGCTGAATTTGAAGTGACTGAAGAATTAGCCTCTATGAATAGTCTGCATGAAACAATTACAGGTAAAAATGTTTTCAAAGAAGTTGAGAAAACACTAATTTAGCACAACCTGAAAGGGAATCTGCTAAATTGTGTTATGACTGATAGTGGCAAAAATATATGTGGAGCAGAAAAAAGGCTT